ACGTCAGACATAGTAGATAGGCTCTGCCTAACAGTGCAGGTGCTAGGCATCATTCCTCATATTGTAGGCCTACACTTTGATTCCTTTCCACCGGTAATGATGCACGGATATTTATCGAATAACATGAGTAGGGTGTCTTGTATATTTTGCGCAAAAACAAAAATGTATTCTTTTAAAACTATCTTTTAAGTGCTTACACTAAAACCTACTGCAAGCCGCAACATTCATCCTACGGGATAACACTGTGAGGTCCGGAAAACATTTATTTTTAAGCAGCAAATTGTGAGATGTAACAGCACAATTTTTTAATTGCTTATCCTTTTAAACAAAATGTACAAAAATATTTTTGACAAGAACAAAATTATAATTTCATCAAAATGCTCAAAGTGTGAGTTAATCGTAAACAACTGAAAATTGCTCCTTCGAGCAGAGTAGATTGCATGGAAGGTCGCAGAGATTTGAACCGCCACAAAATGTCTATTGAACATAATTGTTATAAAATGTTGTTGTAATTTGTTTTGCTACCTACTTTTTATGTCGTTAACTCATAAAAAATTATGGATTTTGAAGTATGTTTTTAACTGTAACTTATTTGAGATAAATTAGCTGTAAAATTTCTAGCCTGAGTATTTATAGCAGAGTACAATAAGTAGGCTTTTTATAACATTTTACTACTTGGTTTAATGGCCTTAATAAAATCTCATACTTCCTGTGTTAAGTTATCTATATTAATAGAGGATATGTTAAATGTTTTGATATTTCTTTGGATTCATAAGTTAATTACTTTTTAAATCCTTAAAACATTAATAAATAGAGACTAACTTAATGATTAATGATATTTTTAAACAATTTTGTGGAAGATTCTGGTTAAAACAAATAAGGATAATTTGGTTCCCTTAAACTTTTCTATCTCTTGTGGTTGACTCCGAATTTAAAAAAATTACAAATCAGTGGGCCTATAAATATTTTTATTCCACTAAAAACTAATTTAGGATAGAAATGCTTTAAATCTCATTATAATTAATTCTTTACTATTAATTGATGAAAAGTTAGGGTATGAAATATAAAAAAAAACATGTTAACTTTATTTATGACAAACATAAGGTAACTTACTCTCTGTATAGTAATGATGCAAAAGTTAAAAAATAATAAGCACCATTTATAACATACAATTGGAGTCAGGGAGCAAGGCTAGATTACTTTTCTAGTGTAAGATTATAAATGGGCAATACAACCTAACCTAACCAGTTCAAAAACTTAGATTTAACTTAAGCCTCTGATTAACAGATTTAACTTAGATATTTTGGGTTTCCCTTTTTAAGCATTGCTGCACAATGGTTTGTTTAATTTTTGTTTTGCCTATGCATAAGTTATCTAAGCTAAAAAGTATTATACCTTCAATGAGTTTAACGGAAATACCAGTGCTCGATTTGCAGGGGTTCTTGGCGTAGGTAACGGAATTCCGGTACCTTTCTTTCAAAAAGATATTGGCATGAAAAGTTACATAAATGGATACTAATGACATTAAATAGGTTAAAGTTTTGGCACCTCATTTTTTACACATTGAGCATTGGATCCCCAACTCACCTAAAACGTTCTGATAAGACATGTTTAAACTGTTCCTAGACACCAGCACTACAACTTTCTTAAATGACTTCGTTGACGTTGAGGCTTCCTGTAGACACCACACCTAGATTACTAGACACCGCACACCTGAAAAACTTGCTTAAACATCGTGACAGGGCAGTTTTCTATACTAGACACTTCACCAAGATTACTAGACACCACGCCCAGATTACTAGACACCATTACCATTAACTTACTAGACACCATTACCAAAATAACATAACCTAACCTAACCGTAATCTGGACGTGGTGTCTAGTAATCTTGGTAATGGTGTCTATTCTAGTCATGTGGGCGTAAGTTAGTGTCTAGTAGGTACACTTGGTGAGGTGTCTAGTATAGTAAACTACCCTGTCACGATGTTTAAGCGAGTTTTTCAGGCGTTGTGTCTAGCAATCTAACTTAGGCATGGTGTCTACAGGAAGTCTTAGCGGGAAAAATTCATTTGAGAAAGTTGTAACTTAGTGTTGGTGTCTAAGAACAGTAAACGTCTTATAGGACGTTTTAGGTGAGTTGGGGGGAGTTGGGAAGTACAACCAATAAGGTAGCAAGGCCTACCTTAAACTAGGTAAAAGGCCAACTAAAGTGATCTCTTTAATTTATGAAGGTTGTGTTTAGTTGAATCTAGACTGTCTCTGACTAATATAGGGTAATTGGGATGTTACAGAGGTTTAAATAATTAGGCCTAGCTTGTAAGTTTTAATTTAAACCTTGCCTAAGATTTGGAGACACTTGGTGATTTTAAATAAACTCATCTCCCGAATTTTATTTAGAATAGGCTACCATCAAAATGTGAAGAAAATAGCATTAGTTACCGTATCGGTACATCTTACTTAAAGGCCTACAACTAGTTCACTTATCATCCTAGATTACTTAATCTTAGATTATCTCTTAGATACTTTATCTTCGATTAACTTATCTTACTTGAGTTTAAAATCACAGGTTCTCCACGTTCCTTTCATCTAAACTTAGCCCAAATCACACTTTGTTATTCACTATTGTTTTCAATGTTTTCGCCATGACACAATTTCATTTCTTCAATTAGTTCATTGAGTTTTAAGCCTTACACTTATATCCAACTATACATTTACTTAGCCCTAAACAACTATTAAAATAACCTTTAAACTGTAAACTGACAACCTACCTTCGATGCAGCGGCAGCCATATTTAATTGGAATTCAATTATTGGATCAATTATCAATTAGGCCTTTGACGTTTCTCTAAAAAGTGAAACTGCTAGCGCTGCAGTATGGTAGTGGAGATTATTTGAACAATGAGTTTTTAGTTGTTTTCATTACAACTAGATGGCTCTTGAGAATGGAATTTTTGTAGTTACAGGTTTATCAACCAGAGGCGTAAAGGGTTCAATCAAATGATTGCATCATCCATGGCTAAGCTCAAGATGTATGGAGTAAATGAGTAGAATGGTAGATTATTAGGCGTAATATTTGTAATTTCGGTTGTTTGTTTACAAAAGCGTTAATGAAGTTTCAAGAATAAAGTAACTATCGCAAACAATTATGCCTACCTGATTTAGAGTAGGCCTAAATAAAAAAGCTATTTTAGGCTATTTATAACAAATTACGATTTTCTCTGGAACATTTCTTTTCCGTCCGTCATAGTTAACCGATTTTTTCGATTGAGATTTCGTTATAAAGTTTATGATCTAGCGCGGAAATAAATTTAAATTACGATATTTATTTCATTCGATTTTTTCTCCCCTAATCTTTTGATTTATTTTTAGGAGAAACTTTTATAAAAGTACATTGCTGTTGGCTAACTTACTTTTTGGTTTAGGCTTTTTGAATTGATGGTACTTTTATCTGATTTACTTCAATCTAATTTTCAAACAGTCAGGTAAAAAAAAAAAATATGAAAACAGATTTTATGAAAATTAATTTTAAATACTTAGGAATGAATTAAATTAAAATTTTAAATTATTTAGTAAAATAAGTTAAGTTTTAGTTGTAGTGTGAAAGATTGATTGATGTAGGTAAGTCTTTGAATAGATGAATCGTCAAATTTTAGATAGGCCTATTGTAAATAATTCGTGTTATTATTATAATAATGGTCTTGAATAAAACACGATAATGATATCGTCATTGTTGTTTGGAAGAACAGTATTAAATCGGATTGAATGCGCTATCAAACCGTTCATTAAAACTTAATAGTATTAAACTAAGTAACAAATTGATCTTAATGGTCCTCTACAACAGTTTTATGTCAGTTAGGTTATATGTTGCAGTATTAATTTTAATTCTTAATTCAGAATATAGGCATTAACGTAGCAATGAATAAACTATAAAGTTGGGAATTTTCCTTTAATTACAATTTAATTTCTGACTTGCATCGTAATTAATTGTGATAACTTTAAATTGATTAATTTAAAAATAGCGAGTAAATTCTTACCTAATCTGTAATAAAATAAAAAAGAAGTCCGTCTTGAACTTCAAAAATTTACACCTCCGGCTGGTCTCGAACGTTGGCCCTAGTCTCAGAATTTATATCCAGGACTAACGCCTTTAACCCCGCGGCCGTTTTGAGGCTACGTAAACAATAGACATTAAAAATAATATAACCCGCACGCCTCCCCCCCTACACACCACGGTTATAGGCCTAGTAAGACGTAATTACAGCCAACAATTTATTTAATTATTTATTTCACTCGGATACATCATTTTTACTATAATCATCAACAAATACAAGTAGCCTAATTCACTATAACACTGCATTATAGGCCAAGTCAATGAAAATGTAGGCTATATATTTTTGTTCTTTATTTTATAAAAGATGGTTGATTCAGTAATTTTAAGTGAAAGTGGACCTTACCACAGAAGACACACTAACCTTATAGTAGTATGTTTTCTGTGACCTTACATTTCTTAAGCTCTTGCATTTTGTTTGGGGATTCGTATTAGTAAATTTGGTCAGATTTATTTATCATAAGACGATAAATTCGCTTGTAACGACTCAAATAGCAATTTTAACGTAACGTATTTTTTCATTTAGGCCTTTAGATACTTACCATTTGTTCACTCCGTTTTGGGAGCAAAATAAGTCACTGACACAAACTTTCCTAAACTACTTATGGGAAAAGTAACTTACCGAATAGGGTCGGTTCGGTTAGGTTAGGTTAATCACTGTTTTGATGTGTTCGTATTGTACCAAGACAAACTTATTTCTATTGAATTTTAAAAATATTATAAAGCAACTAAATATTTTACACCCTTGAAATTGAAACAATCTTGCATGTTTCTGATATTAGGACACGAAAACAGTAAAGTAATGATAAAAAATAAATACAGTGAATATAAATAATGAACAATGATAATGTATGCAATATAAAAATAAGAGATACAAAATTAAAAATAAAAAAAGCCCCTGACGGGATTCGAACCCGCAATCTTTGGATCCGAAGTCCAACGCCTTATCCAATTGGGCCACAGGGGCTATGGTGAATCTGACGACAAATGCCAATAACACTTACATGTATGTCCTATAGGTAGGCCTATATGATCAAGCATTCAAGAAATAGAACGATATACATAACAGTTCTATAGTAGACCATCTCTTAACCGACCTCGTATTAACCGACCTCGGATTATCCGCCTTTGGTCGTAAAATAATACAGTTCGTTTTAATTGACCTTGCTTTGAGAGCAGCTCGGTTTAACCGCCGCTTTCTAGGAATCTCGGCATTTCCGCTCTTACGCTCGGCTATGGGAACTGAACCATACGCTTATCTCCACAGGATATGACTAAGAATAAGTTATTTTGTATTGATCACAAAAAATATAGCATAGCACATTGTCAGTTTGTCATCATCGTTCGTAGCTTGAGCATATCTGATATCTGGTATATAGCATATCTGGGCTATAAATAAACATATCATGTCTTGTAACAAAATGGTTGCTTCTATCTTTAATTTCGACAAAAGGTTCTGTACTGTATTACGATGGATTTGGAAAGCATCAATTAATACATTGCAGTACTAAAGTTGCGTTTATGAGCACAGTGTTACACTTGGGAAAAGTGACGTGTTATTTTGCGCTAACATGGAATATATATCTAGTTTAACGTTAATAACTTACGTCTGTTGGGGATTTAAATGAGGTATATGGAATACACCTAATATCCACGTGATACTACAATTCCTTTCATATACAAGTAACTAATACATGATTCTACGTCATTTTGACGTCACAGTCACAGATATTTTCTTCAAGCCCTGTTTTATTCTACTCATTGTTGAGCTATGATAAATTTCCCACTTATACTTCAGGTAGGTTTAGTTACATTAATGTATTTGCATTCAACAGATTCAATATTCCCTGGTTTATCAATTCTGCGAAATGAGTGTCTTCATCAGTGATATTGGTACATGATAATGTATCAGTGATAGTAAGATAAGAGCAATGTTAACTTTGTAACAGAATTAAAAAAAAAACCTTGAAACCTTGAAAAAACCTTAAATGTTGTGTTAAAATAATGATTGAGGTGTTAAAATGAAGGTTTAGTGGTCCTCTAGGGAGTGAAGATTTTACTTTTGTCATTTTTTCTCCTCTTAAAAAGACAATAATCATTAATTAAGCCTCTAATTAAATATTTTTATTAAGACAAGACAAAACAAATGTTTTAAGTATAATTTCCTTATTCCCTAGTACTCGATGTTACTAACCTAATTATACATTTTCAAAACTATCATTATAAATGACACCGGCATGCTGCTTCAAATGATGGTATGTTCTGTCAAATTTAACATTGCTCTTATGAGACTAAAATCCAATATGGCTACCACCGATGAAGACTCTTAAGAGGCTTTCCATTTGCTAATCAGATTTCCACCGAAATACTCGCTTAAATGTTGGATTGATTCTCCGTTTGAAATTACATTTACTCTGAGGATCTAGCCAATAAAACGTGTATTAATGTTGATTCTGGCCGGCGAGCAAGGAATACCAAGGAATACAAGGAATGGTATTCCTTGCTCGCTGATTCTGGCCCAATAAACTATTTGATTTGGCTTGCTACAAAGAATGCCATAAATTGTGTTTTTATTAAAATAGTTCGTTATATTCGTTATATAAGAAGTTTTGTATTTTAGTTTATTTTGAGGTGGCTAACGCTGATTGTATTTGGTTAATTTGGCTAAATAAATGACTTATGACTTATAAAATAGGTACTTTTTACAAAATTTGATCAAAATGATTTATAAACAAGTTAACTACAACAGGTCAATTGTTCTCCACACGATTAACATCGAATTTTTTTTATTCCTCTGTAGCCATTAGAGGCTTTAATTAAATCAATTATTTGTTGGGTTCATTTATTATCTTGAGACCTTTGGCAATAGCTTATTCCCATATGGGAAATTCGCTACTAGTGCAATTTACTACTTCGGTTTGTTACCGAATGAAAAAAGAAACAATTAAATATGTATTATTTACGATTTTTTATTGTAATAATTTTTAAGTTCATGAAATAACATCAAAATGGATTAAAAATTAAAGCCTACTAAAGTCTGAACGTACCCGCTCGGGCATAAATGTTATTAGCTAACAATGTAATGACAAATATGGAGTAAGTTTAGTGATCTTATCTTAAACCCTTCCTTTACGCATAATTCCGTGCATAAGTTTAGCGTTGTGACATAGATTACATTATTCTATCGTTATGGACATAATTGTTAAGAACTCAAGTGAAAACAAACATAAGAGTTTGAATATCAAAATTAGTTTATTTAATATTGGAATTGCAATAGAATGATCAGGAATTCGTATGCTTATACTGCCTTTAAAAATTTATATTATTTCATATGAGTGCTTTTACTGTATTCAAAATCAAGCCAGTCCCAAATACCGTAAAAGGAAATTTTAGTCATACATACATTATATTTTGCAATAAATAATGAACTGTATACAGTATAATCAAATTTCGCATCTAAAATAGTAAAACACATGTCTGCAATTGTAATTGCCACGGATCTCAACGAAACGACTATTATAACAATTTATTAATTGGCTATCCTCTTATTGAGATACATAACATAAATATTTCGCAATTTTGATTGATAATTATAGAACATTCGTATGAACGTGTTGTGACAGTTTGACTCAAATAAACGTTAGTGTTACAATAATTGCATTAAAACCGGTCGTTATTAAAACGCAAATAAAATATACCAAAATAAAAGTACCAAATTATCTATAGTTGTCAATTCCATACAGCGAATCTTGTGGGACTTTGAGTTGGTTACGAAGACGATAGTTTGAACTAATTATGACAAATAATCAAATGTTACAATTGTTATATTATGCAGTGTTCTTTTAATGTTAAGAGCTGAATTGGATTATTGTTTTCATGCGTGATCCTTGTTTGTCAATTGTATTGAATCACCGTATTGGTTTTCAGCACACGTGCACGAATACACCAAACATAATTAAGTTTGCAAACAAATTATTAATTTAAGTAAGTAGTTAGTAAGTAGTATTTATTTAAAAAGTTAAAACAGAAAAATAACGCGTTGTTGGAAGTAAATAGTCCGACAAGTTCCAACTATCTCGAATACCCCCTCCGCAGCAAACCTGCAGACTAAGCGAATTTCAATTTGCCTGATTGTTTTGTCTCTAAAATGCTTCCTCGTTTAACAATTTAATTAAATTTAATTTAAACACGTTTTTCATCTTTTCATTTTCATTATATGTATCACTGATGTATCTGTACAACATTTATCAGCATGTAATAAGTATCTTGTCGCATGAATCATAATGAAAACGATTGTAACAATGGTGTTTGCCGTAAAAAATAAATTTAAATAACATTAGTTTAATGAATACTTAAGCTTAGTCACAGAGAATTAAGGTTATCATAATAATTTAAGTTTTAAAATTTACACGTTAAAAATATAAAATATGTAACTATTACACGAGTAATAACAATATTTAGTGATAATACACACATTTTAACTCTAACAATAAAAAGTTTGGTACAATAAAATTGCACTATGTACATTCTCCCTAGGATCTCCGTATAGAGTGGGTTCCATCGCTATTTCCTTGCCAAGACCTAGACACCCGGGGCTATAGAATACACTAGTCACCCCACCATAACAGTCGACCACCCAGGGTGGGTTTCGGTCCCTCCTCCTTTCAAACATGGCTTCCTTGTTGGGAGGGGAGAGGGACTCACGAAACTAACAAATATATAGCAAGCACGGATTATACTGTATTTCTCGTAATATTATATATTTATCAAATTTTATAAGATATAAACTATCAACTAAATATTTTACACCCTTGAGATTGGAACAAACTTGCATGTTTCTGATGTTTGGACACGATAACAGTAAAGTAACGATAAAAAATGAATACAGTGAATATAAATAATGAACTATGATAACCGCATGGACGCATGGTTATGGTAGTTCATATAGTAAGATGCGATGATTAGATTGTTGTATTTTGATTAGCGGTAGAAGAATTGTTCTTATTTGGTTTTCTTTTTAATATTACATAGAGTTGGTTATAAGAATATTTTTACTGTGGGTGGTACAAGTTCAATTACATGTTTTGCACGATATATTTATTTGTTATGCCTTTAATTAGGTCCGCATAATTTGATTTCATACTTGTGGAATTGAAGTTTCTACATGCAAAGTCAATAACAGTAAACATAAAACAGTGTCTAATCGAAATCGATCACTACTTACCATCTATTATTCATATTTACCGTCTTGTGAGTTAACGCATGAGTTTACAATGTGTTTCAAGTGTAAACGTACTTTTATATACTTTCCGTACAATTTATATTACCTAACAATGGATAAATTGTCCCATCAAGGAGTTTTCCAAGATCCTAAATTTAACTGTGGGGTTACATTTTTGTTTTGAATATTTTTTGTGTTTGCCTTATTTACAATGTCTTATCATGTATGTAATATAAAACAAAATCGAAAAAAAATTGAATGTCCCTAGCAGGATAATTCTTAATTAAGAATAAGGATATTAAAGTAGCAACGAATAAACTATAAAGTTAAGAATTTTCCTTTGATTACAAGTTAATTGCCGACTTAAATCGTAATTAATTGGGTTTACTTTAAATTTATTTATTTAAAAATTGTATAGCTTTAAATTCCTACCTAATCTGTGATATAAAAAATCAGTCCGTCTTGAACTTCATCAAAAAGCATACACCTCCAGGGCGAGGGTCGAACCAGCGGCTACCCTGATACATTTTCTGTATTCACAACTAGCGCCTTAGACCACTCAGCCAATGAGGCTATGGAAGATGAAGACATTAAAAAGAATAAAACGTGTACAACCCGCAACCCCCCCCCCTCCACACACACCACGGTTCAATCCAGTTCAAAGTTCAATCCATTTATTTCCACGGTATTTTACATAAAGGTACAGTAAGTAAGCTATCAAACTTAAAGGCTATGACTGAATAAAT